ATCTTGGGTGTGGAGTTGAGGCATCTGTACTCATATGGATTAGAAGCCCTACAGGTGAGTTTGATATAAAGTCTTAATTTTGCAACTTAACTCATTATTTGTTAATGAGTTTGTTTGATTGTCCCTGCTCTAGGATGGCCATTTGTTCTTCAAGTTTGGTCTCACACAAGTGGCATTGCATCATCTAAGAACTTTTTAGGACTACAAAATCCTGGCCCTCACTCAAGACCTACTTAATTATAAACTCTGGGGGTTGGGTCCAGTAAAGTGGGTATAACAAGCCCTCCAGGTGATGCTGATGCAATCTAAAGTCTGAGAACTACTACTCGAGATAAGTGTAATTCTTAAAGCACTAACATCGTGAACAGGGAAACAGTATCCACTGTCATTGGCTACCCAAGTTGAACACAGTGTTTAGTGAGAATTTTACTAGAAAGACTATTTAAGTATGTGGTCAGGGACCCGAATGCCAAACCTGGAAGGTTTTATATTTATGATCTTGGACAAACTATGTACCTTTCATAAGCCATAGATTCCCCATTTGTGAAATGGACATATTGATACCCATTTACCTCACATTATTGTGAGAATTAAATGTCAATATGTTAGGAAAATATCACATTATAGATATGAGATGGTATATTTAGTGGTAAGCGCTAAACCTCTGTCATTGGCAAAATAGCAGAAGGGTGTTTAGAGTGTTTCTTTATCTCCATTCAGTACCTTGGCATTCTGCACAATACTTGCATGGCTGATTTTGAAGTGTCTCTTCTGCATGCTTTGAATTGTTGTAATGACTCCTTTTGCAAGGACACAGCCAATCTATTTTGGTCAAGGTGGATACTGTAGCTTTTGTGTCTCAAAGTGATGCCAGATGCCATAAATTTTGTGACCTAACAAGGTCTTGCTTCCACTGTGTGCAGCAGAACATGCTTCGGAAGGTTGGCAGTTCCCCATGTTGTATTAAAGGTTACATAGCGAAAGGAGTTTTGTGTCCTTCTGAAACTTGTCATTTTTTCCCTGTAAAACTTGTCAGTTTTTTCACACTCCAGTTGTAGAGTTCATTAGCTCATAATTGCTGCCATTTTTAAATGTCAAAATATTTTATTTAGCTAACTATAGTTGTTTATGAAATAGGATCCATTTTTGAAATGCTTAGAAGCTCATCTCATTAACTATTAAAAAGTGGGCCCAGGGGAAAGGGCTTGACACATGAATTACTAAATCATAATGTAGTAAAACCGAGAAAGCTGTTTGTTCAAAGGTGAAGACAGACTCTTGTATTCTGATTTTTTGTCTCTTACTTTTTCTTAAGTTGGAGTTTTCCAGAAGATAATTATTTACTAATATAAAAGACAAGTCATTTTGAAAATAGTCCTCCTTTCATGCTTTCTTCAGAGTAATATTTATTGTCTTCACTTGTCGAAATTCATGAATTGATGATAGTACTAGAGTTTAATTTTAAAGTAAGTTTGTTTTTCTTTATGCCCACACAAACCACATGTGTATAAAACATGACTATGAGTAAAAAAAATGTGTGATTTAAGTTGCTTTTCTAATAATTAAAATGGCTCGATATCCATGTAACTATTTTCCCTTTTGTAACCAAATACCATGTTTGAGATAGGCACGTTGGCATGTAAGAAGCACCTAAAAATAGTGGAAAGCAACCTGCTCTTTACCACATTTTCCTCTTGGCCACACACTAACACAATAATTAATTAGCCACACATATAGTTTCTTATTGGAAGTATGTGAGTTATAGCATGGAACTGATGAACTGACAGAACCATAATGAGGTTCTAGGACATTTGTAAAATTCTACTTAACCAATGTAGGTGAATTAGTTTTATTTATAGTTCTATTTTTCACAAAGCTCTATCTTAGGGAGGTAGTATTGAGTAAGAGCTTAAGAGCTTTACTTTTAAATTGTGCTTCCTATGTTCAAATTGCTGCTCTGTTCTTTAACTAGCTGTGTAAACTTGGGCAACATAATCTATCAGAACTTCAGTCTCCTTATCTGTGAAGCTGAACAAAATAATTGTACCTGTCTCACAAAAGTGCTATGAGGATTAAGTGAGATAATGCAGTGTAAAATGCTTAACATAGTATATGGTACATGATAAGCATTCGGTAATATTAGATACTGCTGTTAATTTTGTTATTGATGTAGTTGCTATACAAGGAGCCAGTGGAGATGAAAAACTATAGTTAATATATACCGATAAGAATAAATATTGCTTCCATGGAACAAAATAGGACACCTTAAATATAAAACAGTCAATTGAGAACAAGAAAGATCTCTTAAAATTTTGAGAGTAGGCATAAAAAGGAAAATTCAATATAAAGCTAGGAAACTAGAGTTGAAAAATCTTCCAGAAAACAGAGCAAAATGACAAAGAAATGGAAACTAGGAGAATAAGGCAAAAAATTAAAGATCAGTATGGAGATCCAAAAGCCTAATGGTAAGTGCACCATGTATTAGTCCGTTTCTGTTGTTTATATCAAAATACCTGGAACTGAGTGATTTATAAAGAAAATGAAATTTATTGCTTACAGTTTTTGAGGCTGGGAAATCCAAAGTCCAGGGAACACATGTGGTGAAGGCCTTGGTGGTGGCAATGACAGATACTTGGGGTCCTACATGGCAGAAAAATGGCAGAGCAGACAGAGACTTAACTTCTCACATACTCTTCTTTTAAAGACCTCAGAACCACACCCCTGACCACTATTATTAATCCATTCACTACAGCATGGTTCTACAATCTAATCACCTCTTCAAGGCCCCACCTTTCAATAACCATAATTGCATTCTCCACCCTCAACAGTTACAGTGAGAATTAAGCAACTCATATATGAACTTTGGGGACACAATCTGGTCAATCCACAGCACTCTGGAAAGAGAAAATGCATGCAGGAAATTTTCAAAGAAATAATTTAAGAAATTTCTCAGAGCGAATGAGAATGAGTTTCCAGACTTAACGGCCTCGGAAAGTACACAATAGAATGACTGAGTAAAATTTATGCCAAGGCTCATTGTGAAATTTCAGAATGCCCAAGAGTAAAGTTAGATTCTGTTCCAAAGAGAAATAGCAGGTCGTACACACAGGCTCTAGAATCACATTAGACTTCTGAGCCAAAGGACACGAGCAATGCTATCATATTCTTCCAAACAATTATATATTCAGCCAACTATTAATGAAATGTAAGCATAGAATAATGACATTTACAGACACATAAATTAAAAAAAAATTTTACTTCCCAGTCTCCCTTTCTCAGAAAGCACCTGAAGAATGTGCTCCACCGGAATGAGGAAGTACTAAAAAAGAGGAAGACTAGGGATTAAGGAAACAAAAATACCAACGGAGGAGAGGGTTAAAGGAAATTTCTAGGTTTACCATAAAGGAAAATACTAAGAAGACCCATAGAGCGAGTCTAAATTGCAGAGTCCAGATTGGGGCAGGAAGACAGAGTTTTCCATAATGAAAAAATTTTCTTTCCTCAAAGAAAAAGGAAGAATTGTAATTGATGGATTACGTGATGTTTGACTGTATTGTGAGCTGTTGGAGAGTTTCATGATAAATTTGTGATTGCCGAAGTAGTGATTAACTTCATGAAAAACAAATGTACAAGATATGAGATGTAATCAGATGTAATCATAATGAAATATGTAGCTCAGCTGCAGATAGTATTTACAAAGTCATAATAATCTAAGCACAAAATACTGATTTAACTGAAACTTGTGATATGACTACATGTAGGGAGGAGGGGAAGAGAGCAGTGTGTGCATGCATGTGCACGTGTGTGTGGTTGGAGTGAGCAGTGGGTAATGAAGGAAGAATCCTAAAGTCTTATTTCTCATAGTTAAGAAGTCAACAGATAGTGCCTAAAATGGAAAGATTAAAGAATAGTAGTGTAAACTGAATACTGGAAGCATCAATATAAGTAATGTCAAGGCTTGATGTGGGGAGTGGGATTTAGAGTGAGAGAGGGGATTGGTGACTGCCACTTTCCATTATTAGTGTGGTAGCAAAATTTGAGTTTTGGAACTTTGTGCAGGTATTACTTCGATAAAAAAATAAAATGAAATTTAATCCTCCACCCCCAAATTAAATAAAAGAATATATGGAGACAAACTTTAAAACTGTGAAGTACTATGCAAATATTGTGCATTTTTTAATGTTGTAACATCACTGTCACATTGTCCTGACTTGTATTTTCAGCCATTCTTTTTAGAGCTTTTCCATGGATAGAGTTGTGTAGAACGCCTCAGTCTGTATTTTATCTCTTAAGACCTTGTCGATGTGGTTCCGACCTGCCTTTCTGTCCTCTTTTCTTCAATAGTTGGCCTCAGTTTCTTCCCATTAAAGTGAGGGGAATAGAAAGATGATCACCTAGGTCCCTCTTTCTTAGATCATCTGTGAAATCCACACCAGAGGACTATGTGAAGAGGAAATCAAGAACTAATTACCCAAAATTGAAGCAGACTGATATCTGGTCTTCTTGAGTGCAATGATTTATTGAAATTGTTTTGCATTATCAGATAATGAGTGAAGCAAAAATTGATAAATTTCAGAATACATTTTTTTCTGTTTTGTTTCTAACATGTGTTTATTATAACCTTATAATATGAATTATGATGTTTGTAATCTAGGTTGTGTGGAGGTAGTGTTTGTTAAACCATTTTCTTTATAACTTTTTTGGTTCATTTTGCTGATCTTCCACATCAACATTTATCTATGAGACACAGAATTAATGGGCTTTCACTGACCTTCTGGATGAATAATGTGTAACCTTGTAACCAAAATAACTTCAAAAAGCTTGGTCTGAGTATCTAGTTATCTAATGGCTGATTTAGAAATAATGGAGATAGGCTGAGAATAGTTCTGTTTACCATGCTGTAATTGCTGTTAAAACAGCCAACAAATTTGAGTCAACCCCTAAAGGATTAATTTAATGCTAAAATGAAGAGGCCACCTGACACTGCCTTTTATAGTTTTGAAGTGAAAATTCAAACTCTTTGAAGGATTTAATTTTATTCTCTTCACTCAGGGAGCTAACAGAATGAGAGGTCGGTTTGGAAGTGTGGATGGCTTTGAACGGTCCAACAGTCTTGCTTCAGAGAAGGTATCTAATCAGAGCTCCCTTGTTTGTTACTAATTGTGATTTAGCAAAAAGCAACACTGATATGATAATATGTGTGCTTAGTTATTTTATTGTCTTTTATAGGTTTTTAAAAAATAAATATTTGGGTTTATTATTTTATTTTCTTTATTTTTTTAATTTTTATTTTTTTTGTATCATCAATTTTTTTTTTTTTTTTTGTCTTTTGTCTTTTTCCGTGTCCGGCAATGGATCGCAACCCTCAGTGTTGCCCCCGTACCGGACCGGGGACCGGCAACGGGATCGCAACCCTCGGTGTTGCTCCTGCGCCTCGCTCAGCCAGTGAGCGGGAACCGGTCTGTATGTGGGATCCGAACCCTCCGGCGGGAGCGCCGCCGCGCTTCCCAAGCGGCGCACTTATTCAGTGCGTCACCGGGCCGGCCCTGTATCATCAATTTTTAAAAAAATTTATTTTATTTATTGAATCAAAATCGATTATACATATTTTTGGGGTTGAACATTGAGATATGTTGATTAAATCAATATCACTAGCATATATATTGTTGCAAATCGTAATTATTCTTTATGCCCCTTGTCCAATCTCTCCACATCCTCCTCTTCCTCCCCTCTCCCCCTCTAATTACCCTAGGTTTCTTCTCTTCTTCTGAACGAATAATGATTACTCTGTTAACTTGTTGCCTAGATGATCTGTCCAATGCTGAGAGGTGTGATCAGGTCCCCCAATATTATCATAGAGCAGATGCTTCTTCTGTCACTCTGAAATGGGTTTTGTGGAAAGAGACATCCTCTTCTTTTCTTTGTCTCTGCTGGTGACTCTTCTTGTGTGAATGCACTCTGGTGGTTGGTGGACCATCTGCATGGTGGCTGTGGTGCCTAGCTGCTTTTGCAGCAGCCATGGTTATTGTGGTGGCTGTGGTGGGCCACCCACATGGAGGTGCTGTTTTTGGTATGCTCCTTGGCACTGGCAGTATGCCTGGTTGTGGGGTGTGTTTGGTCCCCTTCTCCATGCCTCTGGTCCCTGGGCAGGCCCCTGGTTGTGGGAGAGAGGTCCAGTCCTCTTCTCCTTGGGTGGGCCCTGAGGAACTGGTGTGGTGTGCCTTGTTGTGGGAGGAGGGTCTGGTTCCTGGCTCCATGCCTCGGGTCACTGGGTGGGACCCAAGGTGCTGGCTTGTTGTGCCTGGTTGTGGGAGAGAGGTCCAGTCCCCTTCTCCATGCCCCGGGTCCCCAGGGGGGTTATTATTTTAAATGAGAAGATTCTGGGTATTAGCATATTTGTCTTTATGCAGCTAAGCCTTCTCATGTTGAGTCAGAACACCTCCCTTACAGGCTGATTGTGCTCTATCAGGCATTTTACTGTTTGGAGATAGTATGCTTTGGAGGACAGTATTTGAGCAACTGCTGATCCAAAGCTATCTAAAAATGAGCCATGTAATTACTATGCTTGTACAGTGCTCTGTTTTTTTTGTTCTCTTCTTATGTTACTATTTTTCCTCATTTTTTATCATTGTAACTGCACCCTTTGGCTCTTCTTTATTTCATAGACAACTCTCAGTAGGTTTGGTTGCCTTCCTGTATCATGCAGCATGTAACCTGAGGCATATGCAACCTGTTTTTATAATGGAAAAATATTAAAGCATTCTTATTAGACTACCTGTTGATGGAACCGGGGACCTAGTCCAGCTATGAGTCTATTATCCCTAACCCATATTCATCAAGAGAAACATTTCTACAGTGGTGTCTGTCCTGTAAAGTATAAACAACATACCTATCTAAATTGAAAGATTTATGATATCTATCCATGCACTATGAGATGCATTCCAGCATAGCTCACATTTCATCCATTTCCTGTTTTTCATGTCTTTTAGAAGAAATTTACCTAAGGGAACATGTAATTGGATAGAAACAGCCATAGTGAAGGAAGATACCGACCAGGCTTTATTTTATTTTCCTGAAGGCTTTGCCATGAGACTTGGGCACTTAGGCATTGTGATATTGTTTTGACAGTACAGGAAGCATGCAACCGATATGTCACAGAAACTAGGAGATACATAAAAACAGACTCCACCCTCTTCTGGTCATGATCTCTTTTCATCTTTCTGGCAATAGTGAGAAAGGTACGGTAGCTATAGCATTTTACCACAAAGCGTCAGGGGCAAGAATACCTTTTCTTATCACCCCTTTCACTTTCTGGTCTATCTTTACGGATGCTCTCGCAGCTGCTTATCAGAAGAAATGTGTTGTGGTGATACTGATGAGCCTTCAGCATAGATTGAGTAAAAGAAAAAAAAAAAAACAGTTTTGTCATGACTCAGGAAGAAGATGAGGCGCCCTGTCACTTTTGAGCTCTGTGTTTCGACAGGTCTGCCGTGACCCACGCAGGAAAGAAAGTCCTCCCTTCTGCTTGCCTTTCAGGACTACTCGCCGGGAGACTCACCGCCAGGGACACCACCAGCCTCCCCACTGTCCTCAGCTTGGCACACGTTCCCAGAAGAGGATTCCGACTCCCCGCAGTTTCGAAGACGGGCACACACATTCAGCCACCCGCCTTCAAGCACAAAGAGAAAGCTGACTTTACAGGATGGCAGGGCTCCCGGGGTGCGCTCCCCTCTGCTGAGGCAGAGCTCCATCGAACAGTGCAGGTGAGTGTGGACCTCTCTCCAGTTGTGAATTCAGATGGTCTTGTCACCTCGTGTTGATCACTCTGGAGTCAAGCTGCATTGTGACTTCGTGCTATATAGCCAACTTTTGGTGTTTAGAAAGACCCTAAAAATAAATTAAATTTGTTTTCCTCAGATACTAAGGAAAACAAGGCAGGTTAAGGCACACTCAAAGAGAAGAGTTAATGCATTTGGATGAAAACTTTTTTTTTTCTTTCAGAAAAATGGAGAAACAAGGTATCATGCAATTGTTTTGTCTGAAAACCTGCTGACAGTACATGTTACTCAGAGTCTTCTTTAAAAATCAAAGCCAGCAGATTTGAAAATAACATAGCAATAAAACTTCCTGTTAGGCTACGGTAAAATTCCAGGGTCAAAAAAAATCACCTAAACTATCTTCATATATGAGATAATATTTGGATATATTTTATTACATAATAAATTAAGGCCAAATATGAAAATTGTTACAAATTTTAGCTAGAATAAAGTGGTATCTATAAAGAAGACTATACATACCACAATTGACAGGCAGTGTCCATTAGAAATTATCTTCGATGGTATTAAAAAGTAATTTAACAAAATTGTTTGACATTTAGTGAGAAATAGTAAAGAAGATAAATCTGGAATTGTAGAATGATTATATTTCTTTCTGTATAGCACAGATCAGAATTTCTATCTTAGAACTAATTTTGTTTTTCTTCTTTACCTGTGAGTTTGATGCAGAATATAGGGTTGGATAGGGATGCCAGTTGGAGAGAAAAAAACAGAACTGGAAGTAAAGAGAGAGGGCTAATTTTTACATCAAGTGTTATCAAGTTTACCAGCATTTCCTTTAAGGATACAGTTTTTTTCTCATTGTTTTCTGAATGATTTGATATTTTTAAAAAAACATTTATGATATAAAAATAAAGTAAATCAACAGAATCAATTATCCTCAGATTTTTTTTGTACCTGTGTTAAAGAGATTAAGTATTCATATGTATACTAAGATTTTTTAAATGATTGCTTCATTTATATTTATCCAAGTTAACAAATCTCTTTTTTTTTTCCAGGAAAAATTATTTTCAAGAATTAAAAACATCAGTTATTTTAGACTATAAATGATATCTCAATTCTTTTCACATTTTATAACATACAAGTTCAGACAATTTCTATCAATATAAAAAGATGCTATTTGTGTCATTGTAAACTTGCTATGCAAGGAAACTTCTAAAAAAAAAAAAAAAGAACTATGTGGGAGATTTAGCGCTTTGGATTAAACCAAAATGGCATAATTCCACAAGCTTCTGGAAAGAACACGGATATTAATGTTTGTTAAGCCAAAGGTATTAAGATGACTTCCAACAACCAAATGTGTTGTTCTTAAATATTTAGAAGGGTTTATATCTTTCAAATAGTTAGTCTTTGAACCACTGATAATCAGTTTTTCCTTCTTGTTTCCTGTAATTATTTATGCTTTCCTAGTTTTTCCCTTGAAGTGTCTTTTGCATGTAAAAACAAACATTTTTGTCTTAAAATTGTTAAGAATTTTTTAGAGACAAACACAGATGGTTAGAAATACTGTGTAGATGAGGAATTCAGTTTGTGAAAAAGTCAAACTAGGTCATAGTCACCTAAATAAAGAACTGCATGCTCCTTTTTTTTTTTTTCTTTTCCCATGTAAGATCTAGCCATGAGCCTTGAAAGGAAAAGTTAAATCAATAGCAAGAAGCTGTTTATATGCTTTTTCATAGTGAATAAAGATTTTTTGCTGAAATATAAATTAAGACAAATTTGCTATATTTTCTGTACTCAGCATTCTTCCGTCAGCTCGACGCATGCACAAGGAGAGTAATTCTTCCTCCAGTCTTCCAAGTCTTCACACTTCCTTCTCTGCCCCCTCCTTCACTGCCCCCTCTTTCCTGAAAAGCTTTTACCAGAATTCAGGTAGACTGTCCCCACAGTATGAAAATGAAATCAGGTGAGATCAGTGTCCTCTGTTTGCAAAGCAAAATTTTTTGGAGTGATATACTGATATGTTACTAAAAACTGGCTGCTTGATTTTGGAGTGACATTTATGCATCCTTACATTGTGTTTGTTCTAATCTGCTTCTGATATATTGGTTTCAATTCCAATTAATTTTATTACAAAAACTTTTTAAGCCAGTAGTTTCAAAGCTTTTTGATGATATGATTATCTTTTGAATTATAGATTTTTTTTTTTGTATTATTTGTGTGTTTCTTTGCCTCGGACCCTGGAGTCTAACCTTTATATCATTTGGATTAAGACCTAGTGCTAACACATACAAAGCAAACCTTCCCTGATCACACCTTTTTTTTTCTCAGTCTTTCTTGACGTATTTTATGCAACCTATAAGCCACCAATTGAAACAACTGTACTAAAGTGATAAATATAATACATATTTATGTTTAAGTACTGCATATAGAATATTTCCTAGGCATTTCTTTGATTTTTTTCAATAACAGACTGACTTATCTGAATCTCAGTGTAAGGCACTTAATGGGTATTGGATCATGTTGATAGCAACTCTCAGATAGCATGAAGGGTCTTGTGAATCTTAGAGATTTGGAATTTTAAATTCAGGTTAGGCATCCTTTTTTAGGACCACTATCCTGAATTATTAAAAACATGTTAGGTTACTCTTTAACCAGGCTGAGAAAAAGGAACCAAGATTTTTTTAACATTATGGTTTGTTGGTTAATAGATTCTCTGTACAGTATTGAAATGATAAAGGAAAGGGAATAATTGTATTTTTTGTTTCACCTTCAAATTAATTGTTCAAAATTTATGTAATTTCATTGTTTAGTAGTTAAACTATAACTGTGTTTGATAATATGCTATTTTTTCATAATATTCATTTGTCAAGTATATAATATATCCTTTCCATCAACAAGCATCTTTGTTACTCCTTATAACTTCTTCTCAGGTTTTAAGGTTATATTTTAAAAATTATTTGTATTGAAGTTTATTGGTGAAAAGTAAATGATACTTACGACTTATATGGGAATGCCTTTTTATTCTGAATCCTGGTTTTGGACGTATCTCTGTCTCTCTGTTCTAATGCTATTCCTTGTTTTCCTGTTGTACTAGACAGGACACTGCTTCAGAATCAAGGTGATTAGAGATCTAAATATTTTCATTTTAAAAATTCACAGATTCTTCCAACTGAATGTTGCCATTAGTTTAAAAAGCCATTTTAGTTATCTCCTGAATGCATGCCATTGTTCTGGGTGGTCTGAGGTCTACATAATAGGAAAAATGTGACCCCCGGTATAATCAAAGATCACAAATAACCATTTAAAATGTTGATTACAAACAGAAATCCTGTTTCTACTCTATTTCATGTTGAAACTTTCTTAGAGCTTTGCTGTGGCCTCCAATCAAAGCCTAATTTTAGTTTTAAGTTAATCAAAGTGTATTTGCTAGCTGGAAGGCTAGATACGTACATATGAGGAGTTTATCCCATATCCCTAGAAGATGTAGACATGAGCATCCTAAAAGAAACATACTCATAAAATCAAATCTGGTTTTCACCTGAAGAAGATTATTAATCTACTTCTGTTCATCTTAATTCCTCATGTTGGTCACTTTGAGACATTGCTAAAGGCTTACAAACTTCCATTGGTCTGGTCAGAGGAAAACACCTAGTTCCTTTTTAGGGAAGTCTGACCACATCTGTGATGACATCTCTGCCTCTCGACTCAGTGCTTTTTGTGGTGAACATCCATTTGAACAATTTAACTGCAAATAGCTGTTCTTTGCTCAGTTCCAATTTTTACACTTTGCTCATATCATGAGCCTAATGAGACACATACATGCCCATCTTCCTATTTGGGCCACTAACATGTAGATTTCTTTGTAACTGGAATAAAAACAGTATTAAAGATTGGACTAGAATGAGATGTTCAAGAGAAAAAAGCCCCCAGAAAATTATTTTGGTTAACCTATACTTTTTTGTGGTGGGGTATAAACACCATTTAAATAACACCTATCTGTTTTTAAAGCTTAATGGAAATGTTGACTTTCTTTGCCTTATGCCCTTTTAGGTTCCACTACAGGCATAGACTTAGGTCTGTTACTTTAGAGATCATCTGGCCTACAATTTCCTCATTTTACACATGGTTAGATTGAGCCCCAGGGAGATTGTTTTATATTTTGCTTGAAATATGAGTTACCAGAGATAGTTTAATTTCCGATGTACAGACTTACTTATTTTTCCATAAGTCTGCATTTGGTGTGCAGAGTTTAGGAAATAAAACCCTTTGTTCTCCTCATTCTTTTTTCCTACACATTGTTCCACTGACTAATAATCTATGTCTTTGACTCATAGCTCAGATGCCATATACTGATTTCCACTAGAATAGTTCAATCTCGATTTTATTTAATTGGTAAAGATTTTCCATAGGATGACAGATGTGTATCCAGTTGAAAGCCATAACTTATATAAACTACTAGTGCACCTGATGCACGTATGAGTTAAATTTACTATGGATCCTGTAGAAAAAAACTAAAATTTCATCACTATATGGTTCCATGCAGCCTTTCTTAAGGCATTTGCAAAAATGGCTTTTTCAGTTTTCTGGTAACTAGTTGCTGTCACACTAATCAAATTTTGTTATCTTTCCTGAGTTGTAATCCGTTGTGGTTTAGATATATATTTAGCCAAGGTGTAGCTATTTATTTGGACTTTATGATGCTGCTAGTTTTAGTTGGGTGCTGGGGGTGGGGAGCGATGGAAGGCAGTTTGCTGCTCAACAGAACAACTCTGTAAAACTGGTTCCTGGTAGAAGAATTTACCTTTGTGCAAAGCATGTCTGTATTGCTTTGGCAGGAAATAAAACATGACTATATCCTGCTTAAAGTTGAGTCCCTGTGAGTGGTCATTAGAAAACCTTCATTCTGTAAGTTATCCAGTGAATTAATTCTCAGTAAAGTAGGCAAGTATGCATTAAAAATTCCATGTTAACTATAAGAAGTATAATGTTAATTTTATAGTTGATGTTGTAAAGGCTACAACTGCTTGTTCCAGGATATATTAAAAGTTATCTTGAAGCTTTTGAGGGAGGACTTCATATTATATCCATAGGTTTTTGATTGATGCTGTGTACAGGGGACTTGGAATCAGCCCTTTCAGCCTACATGGTGATACACATAATATGGGATTTTTTTTCCCTTATAAACCCCTCATTTGTATTTCCAGATTGTGGTTCTTGATTAACCGATGAATGATGATATATATTCCATATATAATATACCAATACAAAAATGGGTGGGAGTTTTCCAAGTTGTACATCCTTCCTAGTTATGGATTTTTCATTTCGTAAATTTCTGATAAAGGTAGTGCTGCCACAGAAAACTTTTCCTGAATATGTCTCTTGGAAAGCAATTTTATTCTGCACCTTTATATTTCAAAATACAAATGAAGGAGGGAAAAGATTATATGGAAAAATAGGGGCACAGTTATAATTTGTTCACCTTTTAAAAAATGTAAAGATGATTAAAAGACCAATATATGTGTATTTTATTGTAATTTAAGGTGTTTTTGATTTGGTCCTTTTATTTAAAATAAAAATTATGTACATTTTAGAATGAAATTATTTTAAGGCAAAGGAAATAGACATTTATATAAATGAAGCACCTAGTAGTGCTCTGAAGTTATTTTTCTGCTGAGATAAATGAAATTATTCCGTTAAAAAATGGAGAGAAGTAGCTGGCCAGGAGACTTAATGCTAATTAGAGACTGATATTTTTCCACCAGAAACACATTAGATCCTGGGAGTCCTGACAGCTTTGTTTTTGTGGGTCTAATTCAAAGAGTATTTACATTGGCACAATAAACTACAGTCCCCGAGTGTCTGGCTTCTGGAGCGCCTGGATCTGAGGCTTGGCTCCTTCACTGATTGTCCATGTGGGCTGGTTACTTAGCCTCTTTCTACTTCAGTTTTCCTGCTAAAAATTGCAATAATAATAATACCTATCCTGTAAGGTTGCTGTGAGGGTGAAGTTAACTCATACTTGTAATATGTTTAGAACAATCAATACCTGATATAAAGTATGTGCTTTTGGTGAGTCTTAGCTTTGTTATTATCGTAGTAAATACCACGTTTCATTTTTATTTTCACTCAAAAATAAGCATTGTGCTTGCCTCCCTGCTAACTTTAAAGGAGAAGTTAAGAGAAAAATAATGTTGCAGTAAAAAAATGAAAATAAATAAGAAAGAAAGAAAAAACACTTTTCCCCTTTATTCCAGTGCAGTTTCCAGATTGGGATATAGGAATTTTGATGCACAGTGTGTCATATGGTTTTGATTCTTGAAATGACCACCTTATGAATGTCAGATTGTTGACTAAATGCAAATCAAGCAGTAAAACTGCTGTAAGTTGCATATGTGTACTGACTGGTTAAATCCTTATCTGGAATCTGACTTCTGAGTACACATCTTCTCTTACTAAATGAAGCAGAACAGCTTTTTTGTCTTATCTCAGCAACCAAACTGCTTTTTCAGGATGTCGTTTTTTAGTACAAGATAAAAGGTCAGTGGTCTGCTATGTAAGTTCTTCCTTTCAGTATATTATTATCTTATACTTTGACTGCTAATTTTTGGCTTATTACTGGCCATTGCATTTCAGACATGGGAGGAAAATTTGTCATTTGGCAGTTTATGTAGATTACAGGGTTATAAAAATTTAGATGTTATGTAATTTTCAGATACGTGTTAGGACATATTTGTATATGTGTTATGAAAGGGCACTTTATGCACCTGTTTTATAATATATTCCCCCCAAAGCTTATCATTTATAGTCAATAATGAAACTGATGTGGGTACTGCTCAGTTTTATTTTTAGTACTCTCTAAACACTTGATATGTCCTTAACAGTGAATTGGAAGGTGATTCTTAAAAGATGTTTTAATTCCAGCATTAAAATATAAACATTTCAGAATCTTTTGGTTGGGTTTACTCTAGTTTTGATTGTTAGAGCTATTAACATAGTCAAGAGAAACCAATATTTGTTGAACATTTACCCTGTGGTGCATTGAAATAAGTGTTTTTACATAGATATTTAATTTAGCTTTCAAAGCTTAAATTATAAATTAGATGGCTTACGTAGGAAAGGAGCAACACTTACTAGAAAAAAGATGCTTTCTGTTGCTTATTAACAGTGTTGTCATTGTCAATACCCATTGGTGCCATCAGCAACTCAGCCCATACTTTTAGGAAGTAAAGCCTTTGGGACTTTCTGCCAGAAAGACTATAAGTTATGACTTCCAATAAAGGGCTTTAAGAAGGTAGATCTTTTATTTATTCCTGACATGTTAGCCTACCCAATATTTTTTGTCCACTTTACTTAACCTTCTGAGTTAGTATTTCATATGGTTTTACAAAATATTAATTTATTTAGTGTGTACTTGTGTCCTTACTATTTGCTTGTTACTACACTAGAAGCTAGAAATATACCCATGAACTGGAAATGTTACAAATAACTGCCAGTAAGCCAGTGTTACAAAAATGAAGATACAGAGCACTTCAAGAGTATTTATCAGGATATAACTATTATATACAGGACACTTGAATCGCAGTTTCTAAAAGGGAAATACTTTAATGCTTTCCATAGTGGAAGTAAAGATGAACATATTTATTCAGTACTATGTAAGGTATCGTAACACATCATGACACTTGCTGTCTGTGCAGCAGCTCAGAGATATGTCCTTTTAAACATCTTAACTAGCTAATCCAAAAGTTATATTTCCAGGAAGATAGAGCCAGATTAGAAATAAGTGAATTGCCTGCTAACTGGACACACAGAGTAAATAAAAATATGACAGGCAGGTATTGAATTATTCTCCTCACTATTAATTGCCTCAGCGCTGTTAGGTTCCTCTGAGTATGTGAGAGGCTTGTGGCTTTTCTAGCTGACTTTCATTTCTGACCTATCTGAACTTCTTGATTCTGTAAAAAATCCTATACCTTCTTTTGTTGGTATTACTGACTGTAAATATTGTTATCTTCATCATTCTCTCAAGAAAGCTAAAAAAAATTGTGAAACTTAAAAAACTAAAATACTCCTGCCACTAACAGCAACAATTAACGTGTGCAGCTACAAACAGCTACAAACGTAGTTGGTCTCTAAAGTACCTTTGAGTCATAATGACCTTTTATTGCACATTACCCTAGAGTGATCTTTCCTAGGAAGTGAAATTCTTAGAGTTGATCAGCATTTTCACATGTAAGTGTCACAAAACACTAATGTAGACTGAGGTAATACTCCCAGCCCCCCGAAATTGGGGAAGTGATTCTTGGATCAATTAATTTAAATAATTTAGGGAATCTTTATGTACCGTTTCCCTGTTGGAGAGTCACGATGCATGCCAATGTATTAACACTCTCTAAGAAGTCCTGATATAAAGAAATCTGGGTAATTTTTGTTGTTGTTTTTATTTTTATTTATTAGTTTTTGGGCTACTGAACTATTAAGGGGTCTAAACTGGTTAATATTTTTTAACTTAGCCTGTTTAATCTTTGATCCCAGTTTTTTTTTTTTAATATATCACCTGACAATAATCCCAAAATTGACCATTCTGCCTATATTTGAGCTGTGTTTTGCAATGATCCAACTATTGTAGCTGACAATTCGGAGACAGATCTGAACAGTCACTGGCAAATAGAAGCTATCTTTGTCAGCTTATTTTATAAGAGCTGTAAGAAAAGTTATTCATGAGCCTTTTATGAAATATTTTACATTGTTTAGAATAAACTATTAATTTTATTTCTTTAGTGAAGCATGAGTTCATTACTTAGGCAACCTTATTCCTCCATATATTTAAATACTGCTATTCTTCAGATTAGAATTAGGACTGATGGGCTACTAAGGAATGAGTAGAAATGGGTGAGCTTCTCATGACTGGGCTGTGGCCTGGAATGCAGTTTCCCCAGAATGTGTTGGCCTGAGTGACCAATGTGCCTGGTGACACATTGCTCCATGTTGCCTGTGGCTGGTGCTTGACTGTGGCAGAACTTGCGAATGGCTTGAGCTAACATTTTGTTGTGAAGTGCCATGTTATGCAGTTCTCATTGCATGTTATATATTTATTTGCTTCCTACAGTGATGGAGAAGGGAGAAAAAGGACCTCTTCCACCTGCAGCAATGAGTCCCTGAACACTGGAGGAACCCCTGCCACTCCTCGCCGCATCTCGTGGCGACAGCGCATTTTCCTCAGGGTTGCTTCTCCCATGAACAAATCTCCCTCAGCAATGCAGCAGCAAGGTCTGTGTGGTCCTCACTAGAGAATTACTCCTTAAAAGTGTTACAGAGTAGGGAATGGAAAGCAAATTCTCTGTGTATAGATTTACACGATTAACAACTATGATTCAATAAGAAACAAAACAAAACAAGCAACAAAAAAATAAAGACAACAGGTGTGGACAAAAAAGCTGAAGGGGGAGGGAGTCAATACTTAGGTTCCTTCAAAGGCCAAGTCTCCCAGGTTGAATGGATTTGGATATTGTATGACAGATATTATCTTTGGGGAGATTTCCTTAAAGTAATATGATTTTATAAGTCCAAAAATACTACATCGTAAATGAGTGTTTGCCCATGAGGGCTCTGCATGGGGTTAGTGACATTATAAAAGAGATTGTAGAGCTCCCTCTCTCCCTTTCCGCGTCCTTCCACGGTGTGAGGATCCAGGGAGAAGAGAGCTGTGAGCCAGGACTCTGCCAGTGCTGTGTTCTTGGACTCCCCAGCCTCCAGAACTGTGAGAAATAGGTTTCTGTGGTTTATAAGCCACCCTGTCTATGGTATTCTGTCAGAGCAGCCCAAACAGTCTAAGACAATTACTGACTTCTAACCTAAGCATCCATCACAGACCCACAGAACCACAGGAAGTTTTAGCTGGAAAGGACCTTTGCCAAAGATCCCCATTTTCACATGAGCAGATAGTCCCCAAGACATTAAGGATTACTCGAGGGTTGCTCAGGCACCAAAGTGTGCATAACTAGGACTCATACCTTGTCAGGGGAAAAGTATGAATGCTAGACTTTCTCCTCGACTCAAAGGATATGCACACTTGGTATGACTTCACCCCAAATTCACCTCATTTTAAAAGGCAACATGAATTATTTTATAAAGCAAAGACTTCTTTTGTATACAAAAAAAAAAAAAGATTTACATGAGTATGGTGGAGAAATAACTTCTTTTTCTGTATCTGATATAGTGGTTTATTTCTCATGTGTCATTAGAACACATTAGACATTGAGTATCTGCTTGCTGAATGAATGAATTAATGAATTAATGAGAGAGTGAGTTTCTAAAACCTCTCATTGGGCCTATTCCTTGATGCATAGGGGAAACAAAGATGGTGCTAGAAAAGAAGTCATAAATCTTTTTATTATTAGAAAAGCAACATAGTCTTTTACAAGAGTCACACAGAAAACAAAGTGACACAGAAAAGTTGAACAATGAAGAAGTGGATACAATACACAAGGCAAACATCAACCAGAAGAGAGTATGGGCAGCTCTCTTTGAATATTAGACCTATTAGAAATTAAAACAAAAACATCTAAAGGGGCAAAGTAAATGTAACCATAAACAAAAACATGTAACAATAATGAGAACATACATAATTATATAGCCCTGAGAACTAGAAAATAACACTTAACAGGAAAAATAAATAAGCCAATAGCTCTCATGGAAGATTTTAATGTATTCTTCTCTGAAAAATAAATGCAGAGAAATTAAATATTTGAATAACACAATTGAACAAGCTTGACATAATATTTATAGAGAACTCTTTTCCCCTATAGGGAAAATTTATTTATTTTTAGCACACATGGAACATTCATAAAACTTAATTATGTGCTTATCCGTAAAGTTTTTAAAATAAACTTCAGACAGTCATGATCATTTATACTGAAATGCTCTGACCACAGTGCCATAGAAAGAAAGATGTCACGAATTAGAGAACAACCAAAAAATTTCATGTGTTTGGAAACTGAAAACTGTACTCCTGGAAACTAGAAGGAAGAAAATATGATGATCATATCAAAATGGAGTGAATTAAGAGGACAGTTAACAAACATGAATGCATTCATATAAAAACAAGAAGGCCAAAGTCAATTGTATTGAGTATTCAACTCAGAAGCTAGAAAGGGGCTGACTGGTTAGCTCAGTTGGTTAGAGCATGGTGTCATAACGCCAAGGTCAAGGGGTCAGATCCCCATACCAGCCAGCCACCAAAAAAAAAAATTTTTTTTTGTTCAAGAAGCTACAAAGGAGCCTTAGAGTAAAATTTAAAAACAACAACAAAACTTAAGGAAGCCAGTGTAAATAATAAGGGTAATGGCAGAGGTCAATGAATTAAAAAAAAGAAAACAAGTGGCAATACTGAAGATGAAATTAACTCTGCCTAGGATGGTCAGAGAAAGCTTCATGGAAAAATTAGATGTTTATTCAAACTAATTGCTGGGAGAACCATGTTTCAGCAGGAGGGAATAGCAAAGCTCCGGGGTCATTTTCGAGAACTGTGCAGGTCAGAGAATCGCGAAGGATCCCGCGTGAGGGACGCATCGCATGCGACACTGAGACACGGAGGCTTGGAGAGGTGACTAGAGGCCTTTCCCAGTAGTTTGGACTTTGTTCTTTGGGATACGAGCAACCATTGAAGCACTTTAAAAGACATGATCATGTTTGTTAATAGGAAAATAATTGGCAGTAGTGTGAAGCATGGCCTGGAACGAAGGGAGAGGATGAACTTCAGATCAGTCAGGGGGTGTCCAGGAGGAGAGGGTAGAGGGAGTGCCATGCCCAGCCAGGAAAGGCCCAGTGTCACCCGCTGCTTTTCTCTTGACGGGTTCTGACGCAGATGTTGACCTTAGGAGATCGCTCTTACCTACGCACTTAATTGTCTTGTTTTGCGCAGCCAGATAATATGCACAGATAAATTGCAGAAGTGTTGGACTCTGGGGACAGGCCAGTTCATTTCGTAGCACCTCCATTACAGGTCTTCTTGTGTAGAAAGGAGAAGTGGTGAAATGACCTATGCTTTCGTTTCACTGCAAGAGGGAAATCTGAAAGGGGAATTCAGTCTAGTGAATTTACTTAAATCATTAGTTCCAGAAAATAAGAGTTACTGGGAAAGCGAAAACCTTTAAATGTGGGAGATAAGATGAGGGAGTGTCTGTTCTAGAAAGAGCTTCTGTAGTTGGATTACTGCTAAGGAATGCCTCTCACTGTTTTCTTCTCTGCAGATGGATTGGACAGGAATGAGCTGCTGCCTTTGTCCCCTCTTGCTCCAACCATGGAGGAGGACCCGCTGGTTTTATTCCTGTCTGGTGACGATGACCCAGAGAAGGTTGAAGAAAAAAAATCAAAAGAACTGAGAAGTTTGTGGAGAAAGGCTATACACCAACAAATCTTGTTGCTTCGAATGGAAAAAGAAAACCAGAAACTTGAAGGTTAGCCATTCAAACAGGGCTGAGTGATACAATGCTGTAACTCAAGGGTGTAGGTTAAACCTCTCCCCTCTATACACACTCACACTCACTCTCAGACTGCATGCACACTTTGAAAATATCTACTTCGGGAATATCTACTGATATTATTTCTATTTTGGGAGGTGGTTATGATATGGGAAAGGTCAGCTTAAGATATTTGTATTTTTGTTTGAAATAGATTTGCGTTTTAAGTAGATATAAAACATCAGAAGCCCTTAAAGTCTATCTGGGTAATACAGAATGTAGATAATATGGAATCAATGTGTTTGATATGACTGAAAGTTTAATATCATTGTGCACTACTTTTAAAAATCCTTAAATATGAAAAAGAAAATTTTCTTCTTTTAAATATGCTTTTCAACTTTCAGGCTGATTATGTCCATAATGGGAGAAATAGGCATATTTGCCTATTCTAAACAAATTTTGTTTGCATTGTATCCAGTTCAGCTAATTAATTATAATTATCTGTTATCAAATCAAAGTTCCTGTTTTTTGCTAATGCTTTATAGATTATCTACTTAAAAAAGCATTCAAATTATTCAATTTATAATCAAATAATTTATAATAGCTACTGTGCTATTTATGGGACATTATTGCTAAGTTTATGAATATCAAATGTTTTAGAATATGTTTTTCAGCATTTGAAAGAATGATGTAATTTTCCCCAGTGCTGATAGAACCAAACACAAAGAGATGCCCAGACAGTATCAAAAAATATATATATATATGTATATATATGTAAATGTGCCATTATCTTTGCCAAAGCACTTAAACATAAAAGGACCTTGTTTTTACATCTGTAAAATGAATGATTTTGCTTAAGTGGGCCCTTTAACTTTTAAGATTATTGGCAAATATACAATCTATGTTTTTCTCTCTTTTGCTTTTATTGTACTGTCTTCCAAAAAGCTTTTTTAGTACAAGTATTCACATTTCTGAGTTCATCATCTATCTCAAGATTTCTATTACCACTATACCTATTTTTCAATTCAGTTTTTTATCTTAACAATATTATTTAGTTTGCAAGGACACATTTTTTTATTGCTATTTTCTTAGCAGAAGGAAAAGTACAAGAGATTTTAAATACCCTTAGGAAATAAATTTTTGTCTTTAAAATTAAAAATTTAATTAATTGTTACTGACGTAGCTTTAAAAAGTTTGTTGTGATAAGTGGCATACCCACTTGAGCTTTCAAAGATTTCAAAATCTTAAACTTTCAAAAGAAGTTGAATTCATATTTTTAAGCAATTTGTTACATCTTGAGCTAACTCATAAATAGAAAAAGAGGTTAAAAAAAGGATGGTTATCATTCCCTTAAAAAATTTAAGACATGAAATTATATTTCAATTAAGAGTATGTATAGATAGAATCTTATATTAGATATCAAAGGATACTTTCAGAATCTTAGATTATTTGAGCTGGAAATGATCTTACGAGATTATTTAGCTAGATTCTTCATTCTCCTGCTGAGTTAGTGACTGGCTTGGGGAGTCTAAGGAATTAACCTAAGATCAGACAGTGATGTACTAGCGGAACAAGCCCTAAAACTCAGGTTTGTTCTTCATGGTTCTCATCCCAGTATACCTCAGTATTTCTCAACTATGTATGTTAATATAAGGAAATGGAATGTTTTATATAAATGAGTACATGTGTATTCTCAGTTATACTATACAATTTGACAGGATAAGAAAGGAGTTGCCATTTGGAATATATTCACAGAAACCTTTATCAATTCTGTGTTTATTTCTGTAGGAGACTACTGCCATTAAATATTCCCTTAACCAGGTGGAGCTCAGTAACCTAGGAGTTGCCATTTGGAATATATTCACAGAAACCTTTATCAATTCTGTGTTTATTTCTGTAGGAGACTACTGCCATTAAATATTCCCTTAACCAGGTGGAGCTCAGTAACCTATTCTAGATCAAAAAAAAAAAAAAAAAAAAAAAAAAAAAAAAAAGTTGAACCTATTAAAATTCTAGCCAATGGATAATCATTTCTTGATGGTTCCTTATTTTTGCGTAGTTAGGTAGTTGAGGGCAGATATCAACTGTTCTTACTCACCATTTTATTCTCAGGGCCTGAGGCTGGCATAGTAGGTGCTTCTGATTATTTTAAATGAGCAGTGATCTAGAAAAGGTTGGAGGAAAAAAAAAATCTTAGGAAATATTATGCTTTGTCCATTGTGAAGAAAATCATTTGTAAAGCTAAATGTAGGATTGTGTTTGTTGTCAGATGTAATAAACCCACCACTTTAAAAAAATTATTTGGTTATACTAGAGAAATATAAACCAAATATTGCGAAGCAAAGCTAATCTGTGTTAGAAAGCCATCTAGTGGTATCCAGGAGGAATATTTTTGTAGTGAATTTATCTTTTGATCATGTCTGGACTTTTAATTACACAATTTTTACCGCCTTGCTTGAATAAGTCTGTTATAAGACATTTGAATTCTTTTGAAACAGTTTCAAGCACACTAAGTAAAGAGTAACATTGGTTTTCGTATTGTTTTTGTGCTGTCGAGGACTTTGGATGCATGACAAAGATTTGTGTTGCAGAAGGTAAGGTGGCCAAACACTGTGAGCTTGAGTGGATACAGATCACTGAGAAATTGCTGTCCATCGTGATCTTAATGAAAGAGAAGAAATATACTCACATGTCAGTTCTTCATTCTCCCCTTCTGGAATCAATTATTCAAGATAAAGACCAAATGAAGATAGTGATTGCTTTTATAGGCATTTCTTTTAATGAACTCTGGGCCTGTATTTTAGACCACCAAATGAAAGAGAATTCTATATTATTTATAAAGTGCAGTTAGTGTTAACTTGAGTGAAATGAATTTTTCTTTTTAAGAATGTTAAAAACGAACACAGGAACATATAACCTAGTGTTGTTGAGGGCAGTGTGGATAACTCTGGAAATAGTTATAAAAATGTATCAGGTTATTGTGGTCAAATATTTCTTAAATCAAGGTTAGCACGAGGCATTGTCTTCTTGTATATATGTCGTATATAAAATATTAGCACTTTAATGGTTAAGATGATCTGAGCTGTCACCTCTAAGGCTATCACATTTGTCAAAAAATTAAAATTTATAGCATAGCCTACATGGTTTGTATTTTATACTTAGCAGAGTTACTGTGTATAAGGTACAGAGTAAACCCTTCTTAGGAGGTTATTTCTCATATTTTTCTCACATGAAATAATTCAAAGTTTGAGACCCTTTTATGTACCCTCAATTTTTTTTTAAGTTTTCTTTTTGAGAATGTGTTAGTGGTTGATTTGTAAGTCATCCGGCTTGGTTTTAAAAATATAATAAGATATTAAAAATATTATGTTTTATTTTATTTTCAATGTAATTGATTTTCATGGCCCTTTCCTCCCTCCCTCCCCGTCTTTACACCCCCAGCAACCAAAGTAGTGTTCTCTTTTCTTGAAAAGTTCAATGAATTATTATGATGGTTTAATACTTTTTTGTTTATTTATTTATTTATTTATTTATATTAGCTCCTACCTATGAGTGAGAACAAGCAGTATTTCTCTTTCTGTGCCTGGCTTATTTCACTTAACATAATTTTCTCTAAGTTCATTCATGTTGCTGCGAATGGCAGTATTTCATTCTTCTTTATAGCAGAGTAGTATTCCATTGTGTAGATATACCACATTTTCCTTATCCACTCATCTGATGATGGGCATTTCAGCTGGTTCCAACTCTCGGCTATTGTAAATAGAGCTGCAATAAACATAGGAGTACAGGTGTCCCTTTGACATGATGATTTCTGTTCCTTTGGGTTTATACCCAGCAGTGGAATAGCTGGGTCATATGGTAGATCTCTCTGTAGTTGTTTGAGGAACCTCCATATCATTTTCCATAATGTTTGCACCATTTTACAGTCCCACCAACAGTTCCGTTTTCTCCTCATCCTTGCCAGTGTTTGTTGTTCTCAGTGTTTTTAATAATAGCCAGCCTAACTGGAGTGAGATGATGTCTCAGTGTGGGTTTTTTTTTTTTTTTTTTTTTTTTTTTCCCGTGTCCGGCAACGGATCGCAACCCTCAGTGTTGCCCCCGTACCGGACTGGGGACCGGCAACGGGATTGCAACCCTCGGCGTTGCCCCCGCGCCTCGCTCAGCCAGTGAGCGGGAACCGGTCTGCATGTGGGATCCGAACCCTCGGGCGGGAGCGCCGCCGCGCTTCCCAAGCAGCGCACCTATCCAGTGCGCCACCGGGCCGGCCCTCAGTGTGGTTTTGATTTGCATTTTCCAGATGCTGAGTGATGTTGAACATTTTTTCATGTGTCTGTTGGCCATTCTTATATCTTCATTTCAGAAATGCCTATTCAGCTCCTTTGCCCAAAAAAGTACTGTTTTAAAAACACATTGGTCTTATGTAAATTCTCTTTTTTTTTCTTAGCAAGCAGAGATGAACTCCAGTCCAGAAAAGTTAAATTGGACTATGAAGAAGTTGGTGCATGTCAGAGGGAGGTCTTAATAACCTGGGATAAGAAGTTGTTAAACTGCAGAGCTAAAATCAGATGTGATATGGAAGATATTCATGCTTCTCTTAAAGAAGGTATTTGGGATAATCTCAACAATCTTTTTTTTTTTCCCTAAAAAGCCTCAGTTTTTTTTTGATTTGCTCAGCTCAGATATAATTTTGTCTTTGTGCTTTGCTTATAAAAAAAGGAAATTAATTTCTTTCTTTCTGTAGTTTAGTGACTCGATTGGTAAGAAAATGGTTCCAGGAGAGACACTATCCCTGAGGAAGTAGCAGACACCTTATCTACAGACTTTTCTGTTTACTTCAGCCAGATGTTTTTAGCTCTGTGTTGTTTACGGGGGAAGAAGTGCATGCATTGGTACAAGTCTTTGATCACTGCCATAAAAATAAGTCAGACTTACAAACTTGGCTCATTTCCATCATTTGGTCAGAAGTGTTTATTTACACATGTGTATATCTATATGAATGTGATTACACTCCTACATGTATGTATTTATATGTAGAGATTTAAGTTCTGATTCGTCAATTAATCAGATTTTCTTCAATTCATTTATTTATTTCTTTATTTTGGAGAAATTACTTTTATTTAGCCATTATATTACATTTATTGTTTTATTGATGCTACACCATATAAAATACATGATATTTAAATAGTATAAGTTTAAAATGAAAAGTAATATATAACTATTTTATATGCAGTTTCTGTGCCCAGATGAAATATATTAAAATGAGAATCTCCACAGCCTTCATAAATTGGGTGTAAAAATTAAAGTCAGAAAATATCCAAAGAAATCTGATAATGAATCTTGTTTTAAAAGCCTATTATAATGTGCGAAACTGTTGCACAGTGAGATTTTTTTTTTTTTTTTTTTTTTTTTTTTTTTTTTTTTTTTTTT